TATTGCGATTTCCGAATTAATTAAAAAAAATTAATAATCCGATTTAATTTTATAACAAAAAAAATCCGCTTTCTGATTAATTTTTTCGATTTCCGAATTAATTAAAAAAAAATATAACAATCCTATTTAATTTTATAACAAAAACTCCCCCTTTCTGATTTAATTTTTTTGTTTTTCGAATTAATTAAAAAAAGTTAACAATCCGATTTCATGTTTATAAAAACAATTTCCTATTTCCGATTTTCAATTTAATAAATCGATATGTTGTCTACATTTTTCTAGGGGGCATATAAAGGAATGCACTGTTTGGGGGCGATATGTTGATCAATTGGTTGCTTTGGAACATCATTATGAAAATGATGGATCGCCTTTTGTCATCATCATGCAAATGTGCCGTGCAAGAGAGTGGAGAGGTTATATTCGATTGTATTTCATTATTTTTCAATAAAAATGATATTCGTCCATTAGCTTTATACTAATAATTGTCTATATCTATTGATTGGGTATTAAAATATTTTATGTAATAGGTGATGTTCAAATAACCACGTCAAAAGATGTGACCTTGATCATTGGCGTGGATGTTCCCGAAATTCAAGAATTTCGGAGAAGGTATATGTTATTTGTTAGATCATAGATACAATTTTTTTGACCATTGTATATAAAAACTATTTATTTTAATGTGATGTGATTTTTTTTAATGTCTATCAAGGCTGGCGAAAAGTCAAATTAAGGATACCAAGTTGGTTTCAAGTAGCTCAATTATTGTGAAGCCTGAACTTCAAAGTCTTGATGACGGTGACGTCATTGTTAGTTCTATTGATTCTCTATTTGAGTATACCGAGGTAATATTAATTATGTTATTAGCAATAAGTTGGAACATCAACAATGTAATTGTTATTGAAATTGAAATAATTGTCTTTCTAGCCAATGGAGACTTGGGTTTATCGCGACTATTGATTCTATTATAGACGATTGGTGGTACCTTGCATGTGTGAGATGCAGCTGCTCGATGGAGAATGATAATGGGAGCTATACATGCCGGAAGTGCTCTCACACTCGCGGCACATTTCGGTTTGTGAACATTAATTGTATTATTGTTTCTTTTCATATGTATATATGAAATATATGTTATATGAGCTGTATAATTTGCATTTTTCACTCATAATTTGTTTTATATCCAGTACAAAATTCAATTTGGTGTTTCCGATGCTTCCGCCAGTGCAACCTTTGTTTGTTGGGATAAAGATTGTCAGAATATTGTTGGGAAAACTTGTGATATATTGAAACGAGAATATGACCAAAAGGTAGAGTCTATTTTATCTTTGACATGTATAAGTATTATTACATATACACAATTCGAATTTTTCATAACTTTTTAATTTTGTCAGGAGACGAAAGACATCTTTGAACTTCCCAACGAACTTGATGAGTTAACGGGGAGGTCATATCTCTTCAAGGTTCGCATTAAGCCAGATGATCATTACAAGAATTCATTCTCTGTCATTAAAGTTGTTATTGATGAACACTTGGTTTCCAAGTATAGCCAATGGGTCGTGCAATATGATGTAAGTCCCTTTCGTTTCTCGAATTTTACAAATAATATTATATGTGTATCTTTTTCAATAACGTATTTGTAATTTAACATTTGTGTTATTTTTTTCTAGGTGATAAAGTGTTGATTCCAAGAATAGTTATAACTCCATCTGATGTTAGAATTCCTTTCAAGTTCCAGCGTCGTCAGTTTCCCATTATGGTCTCTTACGCCATGACTATAAATAAGAGTCAGGGACAATCATTATCTCATGTTGGTTGATTTCTTAAGAAACCAGTGTTTAGTCATGGCCAGTTGTACGTTGTTGTCTCCCGTGTCACTAACAGAAATGGTTTAAAAATCTTAATTTGTGCGATGATGACGTGCCAAAGAATCAAACCATGAACGTTGTATATAAGGAAGTCTTCAATAATATATAGATTAGTTTTTCCAACAATATTATTAATGACATGATGTTTATGTTAGTAAGTACTTTGAATTGTAACTGATATTTACTTTTTAAAATGGACATAGATAATTATCCTCCGTGCATCGCACGGGCTCTGTACTAGTTAAAACATAATTTATACCGATAAAATATCGGGATATTACATAAAATAGCTTAATTAACATAACTACAAAAGTTGCCAAAGCTATCTAAGATAGACAAGACTACGTGAGATATGAGAACTCCGAAATAACATAACTTAATCGATTAAATTAAGTAGATGTGAACCATGCTTACACTATTTTGAATATTTTGCATAAATATGGTGCAACTTTGGTCAACTTGTTAACCTTAATAAGTCTACTATCCTTTTTTTTGTAATAATATTCAGTTGTGTACAAAAGCAGATATTTGCAAGATCTTGAATGGGATCTCTAGTGTGAAATCCGCTAAGTACTTGGGACTACCTTTAGGAATAAGAAAATCAAACAAAGAAACCTTTAATTTTGTTTCAGAAAATGTAAAAAAAAAAGAGTGTGTAACTGGAAAAATAAATTTTTGAGTGAGGCTGGCAAGGAGGTTTTGATCAAAACCATTTGGGAGCAATACCTACCTATGCCATGTCATGTTTTGCTTTACCCTCTTCCATCTGGCAGAACATTTGCAAAGATATAGCTGAATTCTGGTGGGAGAAACAGAAGGATGGGAAAATAAAATTCATTGGGCTGAGTGGAATAGGTTAGCTAAACAACCAAAGGATCTGGGGGGGCTGGGGTTTCAGAATTTCAGGCTTTTCAATCAAGCTCTGCTTGATAAGCAGTTGTGGAGAATCATCAATCATCCCAACTTATTAGTCAACAGAGTCTTGAGAGGGAAGTACTTTCATAAAGTCAGTCTTTTTTAGGTGGAAAAAAAGAGTGGGGACTCCTGGTTATGGAAGAGTTGGTTGGGGGCAAGGGAGAGTCTCAAAAAAGGATTTAGATACCAAGTAGGAAATGGCAAAACCATTAGAATTTGGAATGACCCTTGGATCCCAAACTGTCCTTCATTCAAACCTACTTGCCAGTTTCAGAATGATAGGGTTATAGTGGAGAGAGTTACTGATTTGTTACTCCCGGGGGTAGAGAGTGGGATAGGGACTTAATATACCAAACTTTTAACCCCTTTGTTGTAGATGAAATCCTGAAGATTTTCTTAAGCCACTGGGGTAAAAAAGACAAGAAGGTATGGCACCTCGCCAGTGGCAACACAGAACAAAGGATGTGGACCAGAACATGGAGATTGCCAATAAAAGGTAAACTAAAGAACTTTCTGTGGAGAATGTGGCATGGGTTCCTAAGTACTAATCAAAGGCTGCAAGAAAAAAGTATGCATGTGGAAGGAATTTGCAGAGTTTGTGGTGATGAAATTGAAACATTTGACCACTTGTTCTTCTTTTGTCAAAAAGCAAGAACATGTTGGAAGTTGTTAGGAATTCACTGGACTAGCTTCGATTCAAACTCTCATAGTTTCAAAAGCTGGTGGGCTGAGATAACTAATGTTCAAAACTTCAGAACCATCAAAGATAGATTAAGTCTCTCAACTTATCTACTTTGGTGGTTTTGGAAAATAAGGAACTTGTGGGGTGTTTGAAGGGATTAGAATGACTGTAGTGGAGATTGTTGCAAAAGCCAAAATTGAATGGTTAGAGTTCATGGATGCTAATATGTTAGATGGTCAGATAACAGTACTACAGGACAATCATCAAGCTCTAAATGGGGAATTTTTCTAGAAGGTAGGACATATATATATTTTTATTTGTCAGTGTCTTACCCTCATTGGAGAAAAATATGAAACTACAACGAGAGGCCAGGAGAGATTGGTGGAGTGCTGAAAGTCTGAGAATGCAACATGGATCAAAGCCAAAATCTTAAAGAAGCAGAGCTCAGATGTATAAGATGGGTGCTAGAGCAAGCAGTGCAGGAAGATTGGGAAGATGTGATCTACTGTGTCCAACAGACGAGTATAACTCAAGCTCTGAACAACTTGTATCAACAGTAGGTGGTGTGGAATGTAATAGTGGATGACATTATTTTTTTTATCTTTTCTATTTTCCTCCTGCTCCTTTGTGTATAATCAGGCATTGGATAGCTTTTAGTTAGTGTGTATTTTGTATAGGAGTAGTATAAAAATATTTATCCTTAGCCACTGATCTCAGTGCTCAGGAACTTTATTAGCTTGTTGGCTAAGCCTTGTAATATTTTGCTTGAGTTCAATAAAATTACTTTATCGTGGGAAAAAAAATCGATTAAATTAATATAGTGATTGAACCACAATGTACTTAAGGGCTTTCTCGAATGCCCAACACCAAAATTCACCATGACTAGAAGTTCTCTGTCAACACCTTACACACAAGAAAACAAGTTATATCAAAAAATCCTCAAGACCGAGCCCAAAAGCTGAAATCAAGGGAGAGACGGGCGTAGAAGGTGAGGGAGAATGGTGTTTTCGACGGAAGGACCGACCGCTATCAGAGACAAAAGAGTTGAACGACCAATTTAATGGTTTTTTGAGAAAAGAATGCAAGGGGGATTAGGTTAGACAAGCTTTCTTTGTAAAGTATCTGTACTTGCTTGGTATAACAAGTCTTTCGTTTCAAAAGATCGAAATATCTCATAAGTTCTTTATATAGTTTTACAAAAAAGTTCGCTAAAATTTTTATTTTACCTGACTTATAAAGTAACTTTAACAAACATGTTTATTATATCAACTAACTTTTCAATCATCATTGCAATCTTTAAATTAACTTATAAGTTGTAAAGTTAACATAAATTTCAACTAGATTTACCCCAAAAAAAAAAAAAAANAAAAAAAAAAAAAAAAGATGGAGGGCATTTTCGTCAATTAGTAAGTAGGGAGAAAGGCACGGTGTCGGATGCTGAAATATATAACCTTCGTGCTATATAACAACCCACACTGACAACTAACGGCTGTGTATATCACAACAGAGAGGTTCGCCGGAGAAAAATCGAGTGAGAGCTAATGGATTCCGATTACGGAGTAGCCAGAGAACTTTCCGATCTGCAGAAGCTTCGATCTCTGTACAAACCTGAGCTCCCGCCGTGCCTTCAGGTCCCGATCCTTGTTCTTCTTTCTTTGTTCGAAATTGTTGTCCTCTCGAATTACTAATTTTTTCTGTGTTTTCTGCTATATTTTACTGTTCATATTTGTGTTGTGATTTCTGATGTATGTTGGATTGGTTTTGCGAACTGAGATTTGGCATCGATATTTACCTAAATCAGCAA